CCCCCCCCCCCCCCCCTAACGTGCATCCCGACCGTAAAGAGATTGGAGCTCACGTCCACCGACTAGCAGAATAATTTACTATAATCTTACGACCTGAATATATTATCTATCCTCATTATATCAGTCGACCACGCTATGGTATTCTGTTAGTTATACACACTGACGAAAAGGTTAATACGAGGTAGACAAGGGTTTCTGTTACGGCGCTTGGATTATTCTAGTCGACCATGCTATGGTATTCTAGATCTTGGGGGAAAAAGACGATGCATTCAGCCTGGTGTAGGGATATCGATAAAGTAAAAATGCAAGAAATCGAACAGACTAAGAATGGTTAGAATATCTCCAAAATGTTAAGTGATAATGATCTCCGTCTTATACCTTGACATCATTAGGCTATTTCCTTGTATCATGGGAGTTTGTAATGCAGTGATTTGATTGGATTGTAGCCCACTTTACTAGGTCGTAGAGGTACTTGTACTGAAGTTTTAGTGGTGCTTTTTGTGATATATTACCCAAATTAGAATAAGAACATGGCAAGAAGTTTTTATATCAAATGTTTTATTCCACTTCAAACCTCATTCAGCATTATTTACAATCAGACTATAGTCACACGTTAAACAGGGATAATATTTACTTTACCAGCTGATAGAGCTCAATTTCAGTCGTCTGTATAGCCATCTAAATATTTACTTTACCAGCTGATAGAACTCAATTAGAGCTATCTGTATAGTCATCTAAATATTTACTTTACCAGCTGATAGAGCTCAATTTCAGCTATCTATATAGTCATTTTAATATTTACTTTACCCGCTGATAGAGCTCAATTACAGCTAGCTTTATAGTCATCTAAATATTTACTTTACCAGCTGATAGAGCTCAGTTTCAGCTATCTGTATAGTCATCTAAATATTTAGTTTACCAGCTGATAGAGCTCAATTTCAGCTATCTATATAGTCATTTTAATATTTACTTTACCCGCTGATAGAGCTAGCTTTATAGTTGTCTTAATATTTACTTTATCAGCTGATAGAGTTCAATTTCGGCTGTCTATATAGTCATCTAAATATTTACTTAACCAGCTGATAGAGCTCAATTTCAGCTATCTATATAGTCATCTTAATATTTACATTACCCGCTGATAGAGCTCAATTACAGCTAGCTTTATAGTTGTCTTAATATTACTTTACCAGCTGATAGAACTCAATTTCGGCTGTCTATATAGTCATCTTAATATTTACTTAACCAGCTGATAGAGATCAATTGCAGCTATCTGTATAGGCATCTAAATATTTACTTTACCAGCTGATAGAACTCAATTAGAGCTATCTGTATATTCATCTAAATATTTACTTTACCAGCTGATAGAGCTCAGTTTCAGCTATCTGTATAGTCATCTAAATATTTAGTTTACCAGCTGATAAAGCTCAATTTCAGCTATTTATATAATCATCTTAATATTTACTTTACCCGCTGATAGAGCTCAATTACAGCTAGCTTTATAGTTGTCTTAATATTTACTTTATCAGCTGATAGAGTTCAATTTCGGCTGTCTATATAGTCATCTTAATATTTACTTTACCAGCTGATAGAGCTCAATTTCAGTTATCTGTATAGTCATCTAAATATTTACTTAACCAGCTGATAGAGCTCAATTTCAGCTATCTGTATAGTCATCTAAATATTTACTTTACCCGCTGATAGAGTTCAATTTCAGCTATCTGTTAAGTCATCTAAATATTTACTTTACCAGCTGATAGAACTCAATTTCAGCTATCTGTATAGTCATCTCAATATTTACTATACCAGCTGATAGAGCTCAATTTCAGCTATCTGTATAGTCATCTAAATATTTACTTTACCCGCTGATAGAGTTCAATTTCAGCTATCTGTTAAGTCATCTAAATATTTACTTTACCAGCTGATAGAGCTCATATTATTATTTCATAAGTTCAGGCCCTTTATAATTCTACTTAGCTCATAGCAAGCTTAAAGCGAGAATATACGAAATGAAAGCGCAACATATGGCAAGGGCCATTTAGTCGTCCAAAGGTTATTGTCGGAAAAAAATGTCCAAATCAATCACCATACTCAATACATGTAGACTTGGTTGTTCGGGGGTGGGGGAAAAATATATCCAGAAGGGGCAATTTGGTGTATGGTTGGGAGGGGGGGGGCTTTCCGCCTTGTAGCTACGAGCCTAATATGGTGTCCAAGTTGAAAATAAGTTGTGTTGATCACACAGGCAGTTTACAGAATAATCACTAGTCTATTACTATACAACATTACTATTTCACAACTGTCTTAGTGGATTCTCGGGTATTACTTTGGTGTCCGCTGATACCCATATGGTATAATAGTTCTCCCTGGTTGGGAACCAATAGACTAGGTAGGTAGGTAGGTAGTTAATGTTCGCTTCCAGTGGATGCTGATATCGTAAACTAGGTAGTTGTTGATAGTGGTAGTAGTTGGTAGCTTGGTTCAAATTGGATGATAATTATAATAGTTTCTTTATTGGGTATTAATTGGGACTATGCCTTTCTAACATTGGGGATGATTGTATACTGTTGATTTAGTTGTTTAAACCACTGGACCAGTGGCGTTTCTAGAAACCGAGCCGAGCAGAACCACAAAATTGTCGAGACGGCCACAGACTAACGTTTCACTATGTTAAATGATGAAACAATTTGAAAGTGTGGTGCCAAATCCGGAAGCGCCACTGCATTGGACTAGATAGAAACTAATGCCTTATAAACGCATATTGTCAAAAACAGCATGTGACTGAATAGCTTAACTGGGAATGGGATACATTAGTCTTAGAATCTGTCTACTGGATCGAACGAATTTAAATGAAGTTTTACGTCCTGTCTTACTTTGAAAAGGCGTAAGCTACTATAACACACTCACATAATCTATATAATCAAAAATAAAACTCAAAACAAAACATTGTTGTCTCTATAATGTGAAGTTGCCATGTGAAGTGAATCCAGCTCCACCCATCCTTATTATTTTTCTTTATTGCATAATGGCACGTTGTCATGGCAACTGTAATCTACATCATCAACTCATCATCCCGACCCCTCGAATCACCCCTCCTCGTCCCCCACACTTCCAGGGCAGTATCACTGTAGAGTTTAAGAGGCTGGGTATCGCCCGAGGCTTCGATCTCTTTCAGCTCTCGATTGTGATCAATGATATAGTCCAGCGGTTTGAAACATACACATGGGAGACAACTCCTTATATCACTGTACGCTAGCCACAGAAAGGGGTACACCGATATCTTGATGATTCGAACCCACAGTGCTATTTCTGTACCACGTAATCCTAGACAGGACGGACCAGTGCAATGCATCGTCATATTCAGCATTCCGACCACAAATGACGGTACCTCCATCACGAGTGAGAATACGGTAACCAATGAAATCACAGATACAGCTTCTCGTTTTAACAGAATTAAAATTTTCTCCAATGGTTTGACTTCGATCTTTTTCACGTGATACACCCCGGTAACGAGAGCAAGAGGGACAATCAGTAATCCAGGGAGGATGTAACTCACTACTTGTGCGGCTATGAACAAATCTTGGTCTCCGGTATAGACGCATTCTTTGTCTGTTTCCGGGTCGCCCATTCCGACATAAAACAACGGAAGAATCAAAATGGCGGCTATAATCCACGGCGCTAGGAACAGAATTACGGTTACGATCCATTTTAAAAGTCCGTTAAGGTTCGTTTTTTTTATCACAAATATGCTGCGTTCGATGACTGCGCTGAGAACAGTCATCAGAAACAGAAAGACGTAAAGATAGTCGTTACAAAGCTTAAGAGCGATTCGTAACGGACACGAAAGATAGGACGTTAACTGAAGATGGACTAGGAACGGAACAATGAAAAATCCCACGAGTAGGTTAGTCAACAATATATTTATAATAAGTATGTTCTTCGGGTTTCTTCGGAGTTTTCCGCAACACAAGATGAATCCAATCAAAGCAAGATGGCTGCCTAGTGTCCATATTGTTAAACACAACTGTCCAATGTTGGTATCGCTGAATCGGTAGACTTCTGTTGGTACCGCATGATGATCGTACACACCCTCGTCCATCTGCAAAATATTCAAAAAAAGAATTTAAAAATTAAATAAAAGTTTTATCAGCCTTACTTTAAAGTAAACTGACGCAATAGTTCGACCTTCGCTTTGTTGATAAAAAGTGGCTATTTTCATGGTCATGATATATTGAAGAGATCATAATATTTAGCAAGCTTTCATGTGACCTGAAAGGTTATAGAAAGTTGAATTTTGTGATTTAACATGGAAATAAATTGTAAATGAATTGGCGGTGTCGGGTCATGTGTTTATCAAGAGTTGTCCCCCTTTCCAGAGTATTTCATACAAATTTGACAAGAAAAGCAAGGCCATAATAACTGAAGACTGTCCCCTAATCTCAGTCATATCAATATACTATATTTATAAAATATATCTAATTAAAGAGACGGTAAATACGATATGTAAACAATTCTATAATCTGAAGCTAAGATTATAGTACGTATTTACTTTGGTCCACTTTACTAATATAGTGAAGTATTAAAATTTACCTTATAAATCATTTTAGATCTTTTGAAGTTTGCAAATATTTTGTTTCTGTCAAAGAAACATATCTTAACATAAAAACAAATCTTTATAATTTCATACCTTATTTGGCCTATAAGTTATTTTATTATTTTCATATTCAATTTGAAAAAAAAATCTTTTAGAAGTTCTCAACACTTCTTTGATGCTTCTAATAACTTTGAAGTAGACATCTTTATTTTTACTTCAAATAAAAACTTATTAATAAATATAAAATAACACAAACAAATCATAAAACGGTCAAAAAATATTGACAATTCGGTCAATGATTGAGATCAATCGAACTGATCAGTGGACGTGATCGATAAATCGATTAATCTGTTAATCCGTATAGATTATAATCCCTTTATCGAGGGATTATTGCCCGGAGATTAACTCTAAATCTTTTCACCTAAATCGTTTGACATTTTTATGAACTCTCTCTATATTGTTATGGATATTTAAGGCCCGATTCACACTTGAGAAAATCCTTACCAAACTATCGTGTCGATCTGGAGCTAACAGATCTTGTTTGTCACAATTATAAGTATTGTATAGTCTCAATGGCGTTTCTACATTTATAAAAATTTTTACCATTCTACATAGTGTAAGAAAGACCTGTGACACCCCCCCCCCCCCTTTGGATAATTTTGTGGCCCATGCCCCGTCCCCTAACCTGATGTTTACGCCACTGTATAATCTGATTTCAGAGAAAGAAACCAATGTTTCCGCCCTTCGATGCTGATCGAAAATCCAGATTGGTGTGGACTGAACTTAATAGTCAATAAGTTAATATTAAAGGATATAATATATTTATACCAATTAAACTGTTTATCATAAACAACCTTTTAACCCTCTACAGGGCAATATTGATATTAATTAACCTTTTTCATTTTTTGGAGGTTGGTGTTTGCAGCCGTTATTTAGGGCCGTGGCCGAAAGACAAACTCGGGAAAAAACACTGATATTTTCAGGTCACATTTTATAATTTACTGCATTCCATTGTGCTAATATCAAAAACAATTAGGTGATATTCTCTATCACAGCGGCTCGAATTATGATTTAAAATAGGCGAAGTTTAGAATGAATAAATGAAATGAATGGAGTTTTACGTCCTACTTTTCTGCACCATGTGGGCTAATGAGGACGGGCAACGCCATGCAGGGTGCAATGAGGGACATTTTGCCAGGCTTTAGCCTGCTTTTTTCGATTTCCAACTGTCGAGGGATCTTTAACATGGTAAACCTGTAGCACACGGGGCCTCGGTTTATTGCCCCATGCGAACGACTAGACGCTTTGGCGAAGTTCAAAAAAATAAACTAGTGTAATAATAGGAAGGGTACTAAGTTTTAATATGAAAAGATAAACATGTCATATATTATTGATGGATAGACCTGATATAGATAGGTATAACGACTAGATAGATAGATAATATTATAGATAATTTATATTATACCACTTTTTAGGCCATGTTATCTTTATATCTATATTATATCAGTATATTTATATATAATATTAATTTAGGGAGGTTATTATAAATCATCAATTAAACCAATTACAGACGAAACCTGGCGAATATGTTATTTTCAAAATGATACAGGTAGTTAAGTTTCTACACCTTTTAAAACCAACAAGTTCATTGAAGACGAACACATTGTCAGATTTCAGATTCTATAAGTGATAAAGATAGCCAGCGAAGTAAACTTAGATAACTATATGTATATCTTTTTTTGTGCAGACAAACCCAAAGCCGGATTTGAAATTTAAAAATGGTACATGTAGCAGGAGAGGCGAACAATCAGACAACCATATATAGTTAATTGCAGACAAACCTAACGTTAGATTTCTATTTTGAAAATGGGTACATGTAGCAACTGAAGCGACAAATTAGACTAAACAGTATCTCTTTTGAACTATGAAGCCTCGGGGTGAAATTTATATATACAGTATATCAGTAATATCTTACCAATACGACTGGTAAGGGTAGACTATAGACTCGGGTGATTTCTCGAGGTGACAATCTGTGATATATCATCTTACCCCCAGGGGGCTGTAGCTTGTTACTTGTCAGGTCACAGGGAAAATTATTATAATATTGTATATTTTGGTATGGAAATAACACCCAATATTTTCATTCAGATGTCTGTGGTTCCTGCAATTCCTGGTTCACAAATGCTATCAGTGTCCCCGATACACGAAATATTTTAGAAAAACTATTTAAAATCCCCTTTATGATGCAAGATTTTGATATTTCATTTCGCGTTTTATCTGCCAGCTATTATACTGACTGATCATCTGTGATCGGACGAAATTTTTCTGTGCATCATGTTCACTATTGTGTCGGGATTTTTTTAACGTTTTAAAGGGCATGATTCGCAATGTTTAGGATTTGATTTTGATATTGAATATAATCAGAAATACTAGAACTGCACGAAAATCGTATAAATGCCTCAAATATACCTCGGAATACCTAGTCCCAAGAAATGACGACTCGCCTTTTTAACTTTCAAACGCGGATCATGATGGATACACATGGATTTGAAGGCTCAAATTTCGACGTTGATCTGTCAACACTATTACTGAATAGCTTGGCTACAAAACTTCCTGTTTCCGAGATTTAGTTACGATTGATACACACAAGTTGACAAGTTGAAAATATTACATCAACAGTTGACAGAGTACAAGTTGTACAAACTAAAACCTAATTAGTTCTTATTCAGTTCTTTAAAACAATGACAGATTGAGAAGACGAGCTTAGTTCGACTGTAGATGAGTTATTTTGTATCTTATTTCAACAATCTATTTTTAAACAAAGTATTATTGAAATGTTGTCACTTTTCTTGAACGAATTTATGTGTCATTTTATACAATTTGTTTACAGTTCCTCAGTTCATTTCTTTTTAAACAATTTGAAATTGAAAATATGACCTACCTCGACAATAGAAGAAGTATTTTGTATCTAATTTCAACTTTCAGCAAAAGCCTGTTAATGTATATACATAGTCAAATTTTTGAACAAACGTTCTTCAGAATCCCTTTTAAGTCGTCTATTCATTATTATATTTCAGTTCTTTAATGTTATTTCTAAAACAATTTAAAACTGAAAATATGACCTACCTCGACAGTACAAGAGTTATTTTGTGTCTAATTCAACTTGACTGGATCTCTAATCATGTCACCTAATAACTCTCTAGCCTCTCTCACTCATCGCTTCAAGCTAAAATATAAAACATACCAAATACCCTGTTTTTATATTAAATATTGTTCATATCGAGTCGTTGACAAATAAAATACTAGGTTTGTTTTACTTTAATAATGTCGTCGTTAGATATACTCCGAATTAGGTGAATTTTCAGACGGGAGAACCTTCTCAGACTCTCCATTAGAGGCTTGCGACTATGACTCCTCTACAGAGTTTCTCCATTGAGTCAGTCTGCCCCCTATCTGTACCCAAATCCAGGAAGTTGTCGTAACACTGAGTTTGATTAAAAACCAGAAAGTGTAGAAGTGTGTTTATATCATTGGCATAACAGATTCTATACTGGACTCTAGTTGTTATCAGCTGATGGTCTTTTAAACAATCAAGTAGGTTTATATATCGACTGCTAGACAAATACCGAACTTGTAGAATGACAATAGAATAGACAGAACCCCCCCTATTGAACATGTATTCAGATGTATAACTCCAATTCATCAGTTGACATTGTTGTGCCAATACCCTGCTTCTATTTCTTCTGTCTTTAGACGAGATCAAGAGTTCAAGTATGTATTAAACACCAAGAGTCATTCATCTCGACTTCTAGTAAAATAATAGACTTATAGACTCACGTTTTATAATGAAAAAATATAACAATAGAATCGATAGCAATAGAATTAAAGATGGATTCCGGAGATATTAAGCTATATCAGCTCTGATGAAATGACAAGGGAGTTTTGCGCACTATGTCACTCATGATATTCATTCCTTAAAAACGCCTTGGGGGAGGGGATGGGGAAGGGATGGGGGTCTTTTTCATGAGGGAAAAACCATCCACAGCTGACATCGGAAATAACAGCGGTCAGAACAAGCTATGTAACCGACAAGGCAATAGTATTTTGGGGGTAGCTCTATATCCATAGGAGTTTTTGTCACAGAGATAGTCTAGGTCTCAGTCCTGGCAGAAAGGGAATTCGTACCCATGATTTGGAACTATGTAAACACTCTTAAACTTTCGTATTACAATATGTTTTAGATCTATTTTACTGCAGTCAAATTAACAATATAAGGATCAATAATGAATTGATGAAGTGGGGAGAAGTATTATAAATATTGACAGATTAAATACACTTATATTGATATTTCTAATCGAATATTAACTTTAATTTATAATATATTAACATTATATTAGAGAGGGCGTTACGAGAAGGGAGAAGGAGCAAAGAGAGGGATACGGGCACAGGAAATAGGTGAAGATGACCCCTGAAGGTCATAATGGAGTAGGTTCAAAGGCAAAGCCTCTTCTTCTCCACTCTTCAATTTCTTATCATTTTTACATAGCAAAAGAATTGTCTCTTAGAAACACACCCCCCCCCCCCCCCCTTGACATTTTCTCACCTGATGATTCATATAAACGTCAAGAAGTATGAATTATTAATGATGTAACTCATACATCGTCCTCTTCAGAATACAAATTACAAGTTTTACATTAACAAAACGAAATGTATAATAGACATTTCAATAAATCTTACAATTTAGTTTAAGTATTTTGTTCTGGTTCAACGATTTTTAAGAACTGTGTAAATTGTGTAGGTTTGACTGTTTAAATGGTGTTTCAATACATCAATAGAGAATTCTTTGTATCCATATCCTCTTACAGGATATCACAATCATTAAATACAGTTTTCATCATTATCAATCATTTAGAAAGCATTTTATTTTCATTTGTAGGTGACTTTCAACAGGTTTTTTATAATATGACATGCCTTAAAATTCTTTCACATTTCCTTAATCGATGTTTGAAAACGTTAAGGCCGTTGGGGAAAGAATTTTCACAATTTCAAGGTATTACAAACTCCATCTTATACCTTGACATCATTATAGGCACTTTTCTTATATCGAGGATGTCTGTATTTGCAACGATTTGATTGGATTGTTCTCTTGCGAATATAGCCAATCCGAGCCATCGTTATATCAGTAAAGATGTTGTGATAGTTGGGTTGCCCCTTCAGATATATTACTTGCCCCGCCGAAGTCTGGCTATGGACCTGGTAAACTTTCCACTCTTACCACAGTGAACGATTTCAACATAATGTACCATAGCTTTTTTGTAAAAAATCAGGCTCATACTATTAATTTTCGATCAATGTTATCACAGCCCCTGGCTAGTTGGCTAGTCGTAAGTCCCTGTCTCGATTGACCTATTACCCAACCCCACCCCCACACGTCAAAAATTAACTCAGAATTGGGGTATCGTATAATAAAACGCACACCTCGATCAAACGTGACATCCAGTAGATATGTTCTACTCACTATGTCAAACTTAAACACTATATTGACACAAGATAAGTTTTTATCTCTTCTACAAACTTTGGTTTAAATTATTTTACTCTAAAATATA